TTGCCAGATAAGTTTCTAGGTTTTTTAAAAAAATTCTTGTTAGATAAAGAATCCCTTCTCTAATAGTAAGCATTCCTGGTTAGGTGAACACAAGATTGCTGTGTGCATTTATTCCTAAGTCTGGTTTTTCTTGTCTAAATGAGTTAAACCTAGGGCTCCTCTTTGCTTGTGCCTGACAAATTTTATTGACTTTACCGCTTAGTTGTAATACTTATGGACAATTTTCTTTTATGATTTTCTGAAACATGGTGTTCAGTCTTTCCTTTTGATTATGTATTTTTCCAGAAGGGAGTCCCCTTATCAATGGCGTCATGAATCAAGTGTGGTAGTAACCTTCTAGTCTCAAGCCATACTCACCAGCAGGAATCTGACAGCCATGTGACAGTTGAAGGTCTCTATACCTGGATGGAGGTACCATCCCCATCTAGAATGTATAGGCCCTAATTTTTACTTATTATTTATAAAATAGCTTCTCTTCAATAGAGTAGCATGAAAAGTCAACAATCTTACCTTTCGCTGGGATAATAAATAGTCAATAGGAAATGACTGGCTTCTCATTCAAGGATGACTCACAATAAAATTGTGGAAAGCAAACTCCAAATAATGAGTCTTTTCCAAGTTTGCTCTTTGCTAAAATGTTTTCAATTGTATTCTCCATTCTCTTCTTCAGCATGTTCATTGCTTTATTATTAAAAACAAACAAACAAACAAACAAACTCTGCTCACTTTTCCAAAACATCAAGTCTCCTTTTGAACTTTTCTTAAAGAACTTTAATTTTGTTCCTTATCCCTTCCTTCAATTCTTTTACTATGGTAACCACCAGTTCTCACTATGGTGGTCCATTGCCTTATGGTGGTCAGTCATGCACTCTTCACTCCCCCCTCTTCTCAGGTAATGAAAGGAGTCAAAATCCTGCCAGACCATCAGATTGGCTTCAGTGACACTTTCCCTTCTATAAACTACCCACTCTTTCTTTCCCTCCCTGTACCTTTATCCCAGTTCAGGGTAGACTAGGGGCCTCTTGAGACCCAAGAGTAGCACTCTTAGCAATCCACAACTGGATATCACAACACAGTGTAAATAGAAGATAGACTCCCTGAATCAAAGGAGAAGTGAATGACAATAGATTTCACCTATAGGTTCTTAGCCTGTTAGGAGAAGGATCAGATTATTGGGTAAAATGAAATAAAATTCCCTTGGCTTAATCTTTCCCCCTTTTTTGTTCTCTAAGCCACCAAACTGGAACAGAAGAATTCCAATTTATGTATTCTGAAATTATAAACCCCACTCAAAGTCACCCCCTTTGAACCCTCTGAACACAAAGACAATGCCAAAGATTTTTTTTCTAAAGACAATGCCAGACAATCTCTTTTATTTGTATGACTCTGACTTATGTTGTTCCTTACCATCAGGACAGTAAAAGATCAGAGTATAGGGAGTAGTAAATTCCGGGGTTAAATCTTCATTTATAAGGATGGAATGGTTGGAAAAAGTGGAGAAGCTTGGTTTTTTGTTCAGCTTCTTAGACACAATTCTTTTCATCCACAGAGGCAGTCTTTAAATGTTCTCTTTGAAGACTGGGAGTGCCACTGTTTTCCCCTTTACTCCCTTCTCCTGCTCTTTATTGCCTAACTACCTCCCCCACCTCCCCCCCACTCCCTGGCCCTGCTCTCAGTGGCTTCTTTCTCTGTTAAAAAATGCTTTAAAAAATCATGCTATTAGTTAAAATCATCCAAAACTAAAAATCCCAAGATGCTTGGCTATCATTCAAAATATTTACCCTTTTATGTCCTTAGTACTAGTCCTGGAGGGGAGGTTGGAGGAGAGAATGGTGGAGAAGATAGTATACCAGCCTTTTTATTTAATCTGTAGGCTTTTGTATCATTCCATTTTCTTTTCTAGTTGTAGGTACTACAAAATTAATCTCTTCTTTTGAAGGTTTCCCTTTGTATCCTTTTGCCTTCTAAGGACTTCTTCTCTCATGTTAGACTTTTGACAATGAATATTTTTTTGGCTTACCAATTTCTTTGGCTTCCCTCCCCCTTATTTGGTGCATATTTTGTTGTTTTGAAATTATGAAAAATTGGATTTAGATATAATCTTCCATTCAGCCACCTTACCTTATCTTCTGTGTATTTGTTTTTACAAACTGCAGACCCTTTCAAATTTTTTGAAAACCCAGTTATAATTTCCCTGTTAAAACATTACTTAGAAAAGTATTCTTTACCCTTCTGGCTATTAAGTTAGACTGAACCTTAATAAAAATATCAGAGAAGATTAATAACAGAGGAAGAAGATGGTGGCCAGCAGGATATTGGACTATAATTTCACTGTTCAATGTAAATAGTTTAGAGCATCATAGATTTAGTCCTGGAATGGATGTTGGAGGTCAACAAGTTTAACCCCCTCATTTTAAGATGAGGAAATTGAGGTGAAGTGACTTGTACGAAGTCACAAAAATAGTGACAGAGGTAACATTTGAACCTAAATCTTCCTGACTCCAGATTTACCTTTCTTGCCATTGTCCCATGCTCCAAGTTATCTCAAGAATCATGTTTAGCAACATAGGAAGAAAAATAAACCATTCTTCTGGGAGAACAACACTGTTAGTTGTTCCTTCTTTTCTATGATTATCTCCCCCATTGTTTTGAGAAATTGTTTCATAGAGTAGTTACACAAGAACACATTAGAAACGGCAGCTAATCAGGCAATATTTTAAAGTGTATCAAATCTACATAAAAGTAAGTCAAAGGTCACTTTGTACTGAGTATCATAATGAATGCACATCTTGAGAGACAAGCAGAGAATCTGTTATTAAGCATCCTTTCTTGTTTTAATTTTATCTAAGTTTAAATACAATCAAAATCCAAAATCTGAAATTAAATTCACCTGGGGACATTTACTTGGATTTTAAAATAATAATTTTTTTAAATAATGATTTTTACTGTGTGGCTTGATATTCAATAAATGATCAAGGAATGAAAATACTAAGCAATATGAACAAAACACTGCATTCGAGCATTATTTTTGTTCCTGACTGCTATCAAAAGGAGAAAAAAGTAAGCACATCTATGAAACCAAAGCAATTACTTAGCCTTTGGCCAATGGTTGAAGAGAGGCAGTGATTGAACACCATTTTCTAGTGAATGCTTTTGTTGCTTTTAAATTTCTACGTTAAGAATGTTATTTGTATCTTCTTCTGCCTGAAAAATATATGTACTCCTTTCATAAGTAATTTCCATTAGAATTCAATGAACTATTCAGAATTTAAATAATATTTGCTAAACACTGATTATGTGCTGGATACTGAAGTAACTAAGACTTGGTTTGATGAACTTTTTTTTAAAGCGTCAGTTTTCAAGTATCAAGTTAAACACATAGCAGTGGTAACACCAAACAAAGAAGTTGTTAATCACTAGTTAGTCTAAAATTTTCCATCCTGAGAATGGGCTACTATTAATTTTTGTACCTCATTTTACAATACGAATAACCTTCTGCTTGGGGCCTTAAATCTTATTTAAAAGAAAATTACAAAGAAAACTATAGTCAAGCGGAAAAATAATGAAATAAATATTACTAAGCAAATGAATAAAAATACAAAATTTTTTTCTCCAGTGTTTAACAAAACAGTTCTAAATCAAATCTAAAAATCAAATATGATCCTAAAGTGGGGGAGGGGTATGGGTAGATCTATTTTCTCAAAATGTCTACATCAGTTAATGATTTCTATTAAAATGAAATGTTAGAACTATGACAAGTAGCACACACCAAGGCTTAAGTATCTCAAACACTGGTTCCAAAGTCAATATTCTTTTTAAGATCACTAAAATATATTTAACCCCCCCAAACCCTAATTAAAATAATTATAATGCATTTCAAGTAACATATTTGTAAGATCTGTTTCTGCAAAACACAGCTGTTCTGTTATTTTTATTTTGCTAGGCAAAAAAAACAAAATCGTGGTTATATAAATGAACATTTTAGGGAAAACTTTTTAGAAACCTGAATCTCCCACAGGGGTTGAATTTAAAATCTCCGCAACCCCTCAACTGCAAAAATTTTAAAAATACATACAAATGCACCTCACTCAAAATTGCACCTGGAATATTTTATAAATGCAACAGATCACATTTATCAATGTAACAGAAGAAAGGCACAGGCAGAAACTTGTACAGGAACAGTTTACATGGTAATTTCTTCACCATTATCACCACCACCACCACAATCATCAGCAGCATTAAGCTCCCCCTCCTCTTTTCTCCTCCGCTAAGAGACACACTCTTTCCACTCCAATCAAAAGGAGGCAGAGCCAACCTTCAGTTTATTTGAGACTACGGAAGGCTCCGTCTTGAGAGAGGAAGAGGGCAATAGGGAGAAAGAGAGCTGAGAGCCAAGGCTGGGTGGGGTGCCTCCGCCCTTCTCCTGGGTGCACAGCTGAGTGGGCGGGCAGGCGGGCTCTCGGGCTGGCTGCGGAGTGGTTGGTGGGCTCTGAATATTCTCCTACAAAGAAGGAGGGAGGGGAAGCAGTGGGTGGAGCAGGGCGGAAGCCCTGACAGGTGGGCCAGACAGCGTGTGCACACAGAGCACACTGCCAGGGGAGGATGCTGGTGCGAGAGGAAAAGGGGGTGGGGAGTGGCGGGGCCAGCGCAGGGAAGGTGCAAGCGGAGGGGCAGAGCCACAGAGCGCGGCGCTATCAGGTTGTGTTGCAGGAGACCGGGGGCATGTTTGCTGTGTTTGCATCCTCTCCACCCGTCTGGCCGGGGAGCTGCACGCCTGAGCGCGCTGGAAGCTACGTCCTGTGCCTTGGTTCCTCCGCCAGGAAGAGAGAGGGTAGGTGCCAGGCGAGGAAAGGGTGGGAAGGGGCTCGCTCTAGGGCTAGGATTACTGTGGGCAGGACCCGCCCTCTAGGTAGCTCACTTGGGCGGAGGAGGAGGAGGGGAAAGAAGAGGAGGAAGAGGAAGAGAGAAGCTGCAGAAGCGCTCGCTGGGTTGCACAACGTGCAACTCGGGGCGCAGCGGCGGTTGTGTGGGCAGAGGGGCGCTTGCCCGGGAATCCTTTGGCGGTGGTTGCAGGGGCCCTGAAGGGAAGCTGCTCCCCTTGGCTTAGAGCGGAGCGACGGCGGAAGAGAGCCCCTAGGAGGGGCATGCTGCCCGGGGGCTGCGGCAGGAGGAGGCAGGCAGCCGTTGCTGGGGAGGCAGCCGGTGTGCGCAGGTGGGCTGCGCTCCAGCGCTTGGACAGCGGCGCCTCTTGGTTGTGCTGGGGCACAGACTCTTTGGCTTAGCACCTTCCTTCCTTCCTCCCTTTCTTCCTTCCTTCCTTCCCTCCTTCCCTGTGTGCGGTGTGTGCGCGGGCAGGTGTTACAGCCGAGGTGGGGAGGTGTGCGGAGGAAGGAAGTGTGGAGAAAGTGCCTCCCACCTTTTTAAGGCAAGCGAGGCAACCCACCCCTCGTTGCTTTTCACTATCTCTCCAGCGGTTCTCTGATTTGAGGAGCCTTGGGGGTAGCAATTTCAAAATATTAAGTTTGGGGTGATGCCTTCCTCCCATCCCACTTTCCAAACAACACTAACAGCCGGCTGCATTAACTGGAGTCCCACATAATGTGCGCCCTGAGCCTGGGGAAGGTGCTACGGGCACTTTATGGCTTCTTGGGTGAGGTCCGTCTGCGCTCCCTTTTTCCTGGCAGGCTTTTTGTTTTGTTTTGTTTTGTTTTGCTTTTCCTCAAAGGTGATGCCTTTTGTACCTGTAGGCAGTGTTGGACAATCGGGAATTAATTCTAAATTTGGAAGGAAGAAGGGGGTGGGGTGAAGAGGAGAGAATTTATTGTAAAGATTTCTCTGTTGTGCCTTGAAATCTAATACATTTTAAAAAAGTAAGTTGTTGCTTAAAAGGGGGCATCATCTCCAGTGGTAATGAAAATGCTGCTTTTCTAACTTGAGATAATTTAGTTTTGATGGTATTAAGTGCAGTTTACGTTTGTACCTCTTACTTGCAACTTCTTATGTGACTCCTAAGGGACCAAGCTCACAGAGCTTGAGTAGGGTTGCATCTCCATGGCCTTCCAGTGTAATTTCTTGGCGACATGTGCAGTAATACTTACCATAGACAGAGTAACTGAATAATGTGGAACATGTCCTTGCTTATGTATCAGTTGCTTCTGATTTTTATAAATTTACCTATTCCCCATTTCTCTGATAGAGTGAAACATACCTGTACTAAAATAGAATGGAGCCACAGAAATGCTTAATTTACATGATTTAGTGACATTCTTTGGGGGTTGGGGGAAATTTTATGGTACTGATTGGAATTAATTTGTTAACAGCCATTTTAAAACGAATTTGTCAGTAATGGATGAATATGTTTTCAATTTTCATGAGACAATATTTCAAACTATCAATTAAGTGATGTGATAGAATTATCTTAATTTTAACTAAGTTGTGAAATGCCTTAAAATGTAAGTGCAACCATGTTCTGTAAACAACTCTTTTATGCAGTTATTTTTAAAGTATCTAATTACTAATATACGGCATATTAGGAGGCTAAATATATCTTTTTTCAATATGTCTAATTGAGCATTTTAATAAATCAATCTTCCTTTTGTGGGTAAAGTCACTTAACCTCTGTCTGCCTTGGCTTCCTCAACTATAAAATGGAGATCATAAATAGCACCTACTTCACAGGTTTTGTTGTCAGGATCAAATGAGTTATATATAAAACGCTAAGGTGGTGAACTAGAGAGAGTGCCCTGCCTGGAGTCACGAAGACTCATCTTCCTAAATTCAAATCTGGCCTCAGACCTTTAACTAGCTGCGTGACCCTGGGCAAGTCACTTAACCCTGTTTGCCTCAGTTCCTCATCTGTTAAAAAAAAATTATCTGGAGAAGGCAATGGCAAACCACTCCAGGATCTTTGCCAAGAAAACCCCAAATGGGCTCACAAAGAGAGAGACATGACAAAACTGAATCACAACTGAACAACAAAGTAAGGTGCTTGGCTTGTAAGAGGCACTTAATAAAAAAATTATGTAGTATATTATATATAATAAATTAATAAATTATCATTCCCATGATAGGAACTTTAATATCAGATCAGTTATTTTGCTATTTGTTCTATAATTATGTAAAAGGATTCTAAAAAGATAATAGTTTTTTTCTTCTCCTATAGGACTACGGGTGGCACTGTTGAAGCTAAGGGTAAGAGTTGCCAGAAATTAACAGAAAATAAAAGAAAATACGAGTGAAGAAATGTGATTAAGCACAGAAACTTGAAAACCCAGAGGTACGTAAAACAATTAAACCAACCATCTATGATCTTATAATTGTATTCCTACTATTATGAACACATTTGCTGTTTTATCAAAATTTTAAAATCTCACTGTTTTGAAATTATGGTTTAAAGGAGTATGAATAGTACAGCGAAACCTACTTTGAGGTATCCTCAGGAGATGAAAAAGCCTCTTTCCCAACATAGTCTAGTAATTATTTAAATTAAACAGTGATGACCCCCCCCACACACACACACATAGAAAAACAAAATATCATTAAGTTGCTTGGTCCCTTGAATAATTAAGTGCATTGTCTCTTTGGCATAACCATATATTCTCTCTAACTGTAATTATTTTTCCTTTAGTGGAAATAGCTTTATATTTATAATGGCCAATTTTTTATATTAGGAATCAATCAATTTTAATAAGCATTTATTGAGCTACTATTTGCCAGTCACTGTGCTAATCACTTGGGATACAAAGAGGCAGAAAACAGTCCCTGACCTCAGGGAGCTTACTATCTAATGGGGAGACAATATGCAAACAAATATATACAAAGCAGGCTACATACATGATAAATAGGTGATAATTAACAGAGGAGAGGCACTATAATTAAGAGGTTTTGGGGATGGCTTCCTGTAGAAGATAGAACTCAATAGTTGGGACATAAAGGAATGAGTAGTATTTGGAAAACAGTTGAGAATTGTGCGTTAGAAAATTTCTCAGTGTGCAAAAATACCATTGTAAATATTTGCAAATATTGTAAAAAAATTTTAGTAATTGTCAATGGAACATTTTCAACAAAATAGAGAAAGTTGTACTAATACATGTGCTGGTATCTATTTTTAATAAAAATGCAAACTCTCTTTTTGTTTGTATAACAAAGTTGATTTAAACAAATACAAATTCCATAAAGATGATTTCCCTTAAACAAGTTGTTTATCTTCTTGTATTATATATTTTCCTCATCATATATTTTTCCTGCAAGCTCAAAAGCAGACTTTCATCCTACTTTGACCTTCCTAATTAAGCAATGAGGGAATAGGAAATAAGCATTTATATAGGATTTAAATTCTAGGCACTGTACTAAGGACAAAAATGGAATAGAATTCATTAAATTCTAAAAATGGAATAGAATTCATGTTTTTGGTTTTTTGTGAGTGTGACATAAAAGTACAATTTTCAGATGTAACTATTTTATCACAAGTCAGGTGAACTGGCATTGGTCACAATCAGAATGCATGTATTCATATCCTAACATCTTCTATAGCCATAGTGGGAAGAACCCTGGGATAAGAGTCAGAAGACCTGGGTTCTAATTCTGGCTGTCACTAATTTTCCGAGTGACTTTTTGGTGAGGTCAGTTCATCTCTATGAACTGTAGGTCTCTTATCTTAAGATGAGGCATCTGGACATCTACATTCAGTAGTTACCAAAGTAAGAAGTATGTTCACAGTGAAAACCTATATTGGGTGTTCTCAGAGGAGGAAAAAAATTTTCTCCCATCCTATCCTAATATTAGTAAGGGATAATTTGTTTTTCTAGGAAGACAAACAGAAGTAGACTCTCTTTTAAGTCAAAAAGGAAGACAGAGCAGACTGAGAACTTATTTGAATACTGAATTATATATGGTAAATTCATGGTGAGAAATTAATAGGTGCTTTGGGATATATTTTTAAGAAATTTGTTGTTGCTTCCTGCTTATTACCAAAACATAAGCTATATGGAAGTTCCAAAATATATGAAAGTCTATTGCAAATAAATGACTTAAACCCCAGATTTGTAATATTAGTTACCACTGAGATTGGGGCGTGGGTGAGGATAGATTGTACAAGGAAGATCTTCGAAGTCTTGAGTTGAATTCCGAGTTTCTCACTGAAAATTTCCAGCCATTTTCATTGAAACTACATAGTAGCTATTTTCCAAATGCCTACTGTGCCTGTCTTTCCATATCACCAAATACTTGACTGGGCCCCCCTCTAGAGTTGAAAGAAACTCAGAGAAAAGCCAGAAATGTAATCATGGTGCAAGTGAAATTTGAGTGGGATTAATAAGTAGGCATCTGATCATCTTGAATTCCTGTTTGTAGTAGATATAGAATCCTGAGTCTTTGACTGACATACTTCTCAGTGAGATTAGTCCAATTTTAGCCCAGCCCCTGTAGTATAAGATCGGAAAAGATTGGGTTCAGCCTTTGCTGCTGATCTAGAGAAATCCAATGTACTCTAGCCTGATTGAAAGGACTCCAGGGGGACAGTTGATTCAGAGGTATTGCTATATATTTTGGATCAGGTACAAAATGGCCCTAGGAGTCTCAGAATGAACATGGTTTCTACTTATCTCTCTATCTTCCCCAAAGCAAATCAGATATGGCCTTATTCTCTTTAGGACCCTGAAGACAGGAATGTTGGAGATAACTCCAACAGTATCACTCTCTTAGTTTAGGTTCAATAATAGGACAAAAATGAAGGACTCACCAGTCATTGAACAGTTGACAAAAGGAGGTTTAATTTGCAAGGGTATGCAGCGAGGATACAGTGGCCCCTTATGTTCTCTGGAGGAGTCCCCTGAATCTCCACGAGGAAGTGTTTTTGTCTTCAGGGGAGAATGTGGTGAAGGATGTAGTGACAGGCAGTTTTCAGAAATCCACCAAGTTTGAGGACCATGTGACTGGGACTTTTTATGACTTTAGTAGATGACCAGGAAGCTGCATCAGAGAAGCTGGGGCCAACCAGGTCCCAGGGGCAGCTTTGTTTTTTTTAGGTAAAACCTTCCCATGGTTTAGATGGGAGGAAGGAATACTGGCCCCATTATAGGGGATGATGGAGGGAAAATTGGCTTCTTCCCTTTGACTAGAAAGTAGGGAAATGATCCTTTGATTAGGGTGTGCTAAGAGTGTTGGGAGAGGAGACAAAGACAGTGATCAGCACCTTGCTGCTCTCTTTTTTTTTCCTTCCAAACCTGCCACCTGGAAATCCCTGTGATTACTCATTAAGTAGCAGGGACTTTCCTACTGTGGGAAATCCCAAGTCTATTCTTCAGGGCAAGGAGGAACCTTTTGATATCAATTCTATTCAGCAAATATTTATTGAGTATCTACTATGACTAAAGTACTGTTTTAGGGAGAGGTGGGGGAACAGGGAGGGGTGGAAGAGAGGATGTAAAGCTTTAAATCAGACATGGGTACTAATTAGACTCCCAACTTAGGGGTTACCATTTACTCCTCACTATCTCTTGCCTCTCATATCCAGTCTGTTGTCAAGGCCTGCCATTCCACCTTTGCAACATCTCTCCAATAATCCCCCTTCTCTTCCCTGACACTGTCACCAATATGGTACAGACCCTTATCACCTAATACCTAGATTATTTCAGTAGTCTGCCTGGGGGTCTGCCTGCCTCAAGTTTCTGTCCTCTCTAGTCCAGTCTCTATTCAGCTACCAAAGTAATTTCCCTAAAGAGCAAATCTAATCATGTTACCCCACCTGCCCAAACCCTTCACCCAAATAAACAACAGTGCCTCCAGGATCACATACAGAAACTTCTGTTTGGCATTCAGAGCCCTTCATAACCTAGGCTCCTCCTCCTCCCTCCTTTCCAGTCTTCTTACTCCCCCACACGTCCTCTTAGATCTAGTGACACTGACCTCCTGGCTGCTCCATAAACAAGACTCTGCATCTCCAGCATTGGCTGATCCCCGTGCCTGGAATGCTTTCCCTCCTCTGCTCTGACTACTAACTTCCCTGGTTCCTTTAAGTCCCCCACCAAAATCCCATCTTATAAAGGAAGCCTTTCCCAACCCATAATTACAGTGCCTTCCCTCTCTTAGTTATTTCCTTTTTATCCCGTATATCACTTGTTGATAACATATTTGCTTGTTTTCTCCCACATTAGATTGTGAGCTTCTTGAGGGGAGGGACTATATTTTGCCTCTTTTTATATCCTCAGTGCTTAGCACGATGCCTGGCACATAGTAGGCCCTTAACGTTTATTGACTGACTGACCCTCATCTCAGAGCTGCCCTGTGGGCATTGTGAGAGGTTGTGACTTGCCCAGGGACCACATAGTCATTACCATCAAAACTCAAACCCAAGAACCAAGACTTGAACCCAAGTCTTCCTGACTGGGGCTGGCTCTCTATAGACTATATTCCTCTACCTCTCATTTTTAAAAACTCATTTTAAAACATTATTTTAAAAATATGCTTATAATGTACATGTTGCTTTTGGTTCTGATAAATGGGACACATCAAGTATCAGCTTTTAATAGATTGCTTTTAAAATAAAATCTTGCTCACTTAAAGTAATAATGAGAGAGAGAGAGCGAGAGAGAGAGAGACAAAGGGAGGAAGGAAGGAGAGAAAAAGGAAAAGACAGAGAAAGGGAGAGAGAAGAGAGGAAGAGAAAGAGATGGGAGAAAAAAGGAGAGAGAAAGAAGAAGAGAGGAGAGGGGGACAGAAAGAGGGAAGAGAGAAAGGCAGGGAGAAAGAAGAAGGGAGAAAGGAAAGAGGGAGAGAAAGTGAGAAAGAGGAGAAAAAGGAAGAGAAAAAGAAAGGAAGAGAGAAAGAGGAGAGAGAGAGAATGAGGGAAAAGAGAGAAAAAGGAGAGAGAGAGAGAGAGAGAGAGAGAGAGAGAGAGAGCGAGAGAGCGAGAGAGAGACAAAGAGGAAGAGACAAAGGGAGGAAGGAAGGAGAGAAAAAGGAAAAGACAGAGAAAGGGAGAGAGAAGAGAGGAAGAGAAAGAGATGGGAGAAAAAAGGAGAGAGAAGAAGAAGAGAGGAGAGGGGGACAGAAAGAGGGAAGAGAGAAAGGCAGGGAGAAAGAAGAAGGGAGAAAGGAAAGAGGGAGAGAAAGTGAGAAAGAGGAGAAAAAGGAAGAGAAAAAGAAAGGAAGAGAGAAAGAGGAGAGAGAGAGAATGAGGGAAAAGAGAGAAAAAGGAGAGAGAGAGAGAGAGAAGAGAGAGAGAGAGAGAGAGAGAGAGAGAGAGAGAGAGAGAGAGAGAGAGATCCGAAACTTTGT